AAAGACAACTAATTTTAAAAATCAGGTCAAAATTTTGAAATCAGGTCAAACATCACAACTACTCTTGAGAGTCATTTGTACGATACTCACCATAACTTCATATTTTCAACACTCCGAGGCCCCGCCATGGAGCATTATTTGTTATGATGAAAGGCCGTGTTATAGCGGCCAAGTTCAAGACATGGTGTACAAAAATTGGAACTACTGACATTTTATACAAGTCCCTTACGAAGACTCGCGGAAATTTGATGATTTAACCCATCACCCGCCCCTGCAAATATACATTGGCCGATCGTGTTTGGCACGTCCTCCGACATTAACTGGTTAAAATTACATGTGCAAAACCCCTACAGATGTAATGCCATATAACTGATTTCTTGGTTAAAAGACTACCACGTGATAAAAATCTGAATTTATTGCCGAGATGGTTCCACACTTGAGCACAATTTGTAGTTTTATACACACACTTAATAACTGCAATCAATAGGGTGTTTACAACTTGCAAAATGCATTCACAGCTTAAACATGTCACATTAAAAACAGTTATGTGACATGTGCGCGAGTGTGTTACCATCTGCATAGTTCTGGTCACTAGGCTACTCTACAGATGTACATGTATGCAAGTTTAAGAATGGGCTTTGACCGAGTACACAAATGCCAAATTATTATTATTATTATTATTATTATTATATTAAATACTCATTCACAGCCTTGGTCTTCACAGGGTGAAATCAGTTTACATATTCACCTTTTGTTCTTGTCCTGTGAATAACTACGGGAGCGTGTCCGACTACGAGAACGACGACTGCGGTATGGACTCCTGCTCCTAGAGCGTCGGTATGGACTCCTGCTCCTGGAGCGTCGGGATGGGCTACGACTACGAGATCGCCTGTCATAGTCAGGACTGCGACTGTACGTCGCCGCACTACGTTTGTAGGTGTCACGGCTTCTCATCTGGTTTGGAGCTAGGAACATGAAGTTGTATTGTATTATTCAGTCTTCAAAAATCCATCTTACTTACAAGCAATGAAACGTACACCATTTTTTTTTTTTACAAAATACCTCGGCATTTTTTAAGGTACGTGTACATCGGATTATTTTTTTGGGAACATTTTGTTTGTTTTTTGAACAAAAGTGCTCAAAATCATTAAGTGGGTGCATACCTAACCCATTGAAGATTTAGCTCAGTGGCTACTATACATTTTGAGAAAACACAGGAAACATACATGTTTTGGGTCTTCTAATGGATTCAATTGCTAATCCACTAAAAGGAAAAAAAATGTGCTTGCGGACGCCCTATTTCAAAACCACTGCCTTCTATTCATCCAGGTAATTCAATATAATTCCATATTTGAAATGCACCATCTACATGTACTCACTTTTTCTGTCCCCCTCAGCAAATGAATATCCAGCTCTCGTCCAAGGAAGCGATTGCGATCCAACCCATACATGGCTTCCTCTGCGTCCCGTACATACTCAAATGTGCTAGCAGGTTGTGGTAAGGGAACAAACATGAAGAGGAGCAGACACGAAACAAGACAAGATACACCAATGCACAGAATAGATGAATGGAAATAAGGATACATACATGCTTGTAAGGCATCAGTTTGGCTTACATGTACACAAAGGGAACCCCACCAATATTACAAATGTACCACTGCATTTGGTAAACCCAGTGGCCATTAAGGTGCTAGCTGATAACAACTTTTTGTAAAGTTTTAATTCAAAAAAGTGCACCATAATATGGCAACTAATAATTCTGTATATGACTTAATCCGAGTTGTTGTTGAATCAAGTCCCTCACATGTCAATCATAAGTTAAGTTGCTAATAAAAAGGGGATGAACAATGACAAAGGAATGCCTTTTTTCACAGTTCATTGGAAGAGCTTGTGATGACTTGTCATGTTTGGTTCACGACCTAATTACAACTCTGGAATGTGAGGAGTCTTTTTACCTTCCCAATTTGGGCATAGTGACAGGAACACTAGTGTTTACATAATTGCCTGGGTCAATAATGTTTAGTAGAATTAACTGATATGTAAAAAAATAATCTGCGAGAGCCAAAGATGTCAATGGCAATTCTGGTTGGGACAACCCTCTGCTGTACATGCAATTATCTGACAAGTCGGTGACTAAAGAAAGTAAAGAAGAGAGATCGTTGTGCAAAGATACTTGAAGGAGGATGAACAAACAAACAGGACATTAACAACCACGATATATAAATGTAACAAAACTAAAACTAGACAGAAAAGAAATTTTAAATGAAAAAAATGATTTTAACACACAGACAGATATGACATCCAGCATTGCCAACACATGACAGCCAAAAAAAGTCAAGCCCAAGGGGGGAAAAATATGGAATAATTGGATGTCCTGAAAGACAGGCTTCAGAACAAAATTCAATTGAGGTGAAGATTTGTGGTTTTTTGGTGCAACTTCTCTCAACATTTCAGAGGTAAACAATGCCATGAATTCCAACAGAATGTTCCTGAGAAAATGGTTTTGGCGGTTACCGTGTATGTGCACATACAGTTTGGGAATTTGTACTGATACTTTGAAGCTTAGAAAGCAGTCACTTCCAATCCCATTATTTATTTTTTAAAATTAGATGGGTGATTTTTACAAAGTAGGTTAACCAAATTTGCCTATTTATTAATATACCAAAACACCAAGTAACCAGATTAACCTTTGATGAAATGGAAATAAGTCTGCCACAACACCATGCACAGGAAATACCCGAAATAAGTGGCTACCATACCTGGTCTTGACTTGGCTTGGGCCCAAGAGAAAGCATGTTGGCTGTACCGGTTCTCTTTAAATTCTTGGTTTTGACTTGGCTTGCCACCAGATTTTAAGCATCTTTTGAATTGGCTTGCTTGGAAGCTGGGCAACTTAGTGGGGAAAGTGCCAATGGAGATGATTTTGCCATCTTACAGCTTGACTTGGTCCAAACCGACTGATTTCTATTGAGAAATTTGGTCCAGTACAGAGATCCGTCTACACGATGGGCGTATTACCGTTTACACTTGATCACACTATCACACTTGACTCTACATGTAGCTGGCAATTTCTCGTCACATTGAAAAAAAAAAAACATGCTTGAAATTCTTGAACTGGAAATTCTCTGGTCTTGAAATGATTTCTTGTGCAAAACTTGCTTGAATCTTGAAATCTTGTCTTGACCCATGCCACCGTCTGGACTTGAGTACCCTTGAGAACCTTGCTTGGAAATTCTTGATTTGAAAAAGAATCCCTCTCGCTTGGGTCGTCTTGTTTCAAGGCACAAATCTTGCTTGATTCTTGAAAGCTTGAACCGACCCACTGCCAGTTATCTTGACTTGAAAGCCTTGCTTCTCTCCTCAGCCAAACTTGTCCTTTCAGCATGAATGTGGAGTGTAAATGCAAGTCGGGCACTTTTTCATTAGTGAAATGACATTCTACTAAATTGTAAATGGTGCTTCTTGTTAGTCTTCTTTGAAGTCTGTTGACTTTACCATAGAAAGTTTGGCCAAAATGTGTTTTATTTTCAAGAAGTTTTAGAGCAAAAATGGTTTGAAGTCCACATAGTTATTAAAAAAAAAAGATGTCGAAATAAATTTTGGCCACTTGATTTTCTTGAAAGAAAAACATTCTAAATTTTACGTTCATTTTTGTTTTTAAATCTGCCAAACCACATCAGTATATTAAGTGAGAATCTAAAAAAATATCACCAGTTGTACTAGCAAAAGCCCTTGATTCTTGCCTACGCCACTCCACACATTTCATGCCATTTTTTAAGCCATCGTTGCACGTGTGCTGCAGTATGCCTGGTAGCCCAGCACATATATCGAAACTTGCGTACACGTAGTGAGGGTCATGTGACTTGACTACTTGTACCCAGGATCCCTTGTCTTTGGGCTTGTGCTCTATAAGTGTATGAGCGAGACAAATAAAATAACATGTGTTAGCATGAATAGACAGAAAAAATACTTCGCTACTGTTGGATGGAATATTTGGCTTCTACATGTATAATTTCCAAAATGTACCAGCATTTGTATTGTTTACTTCACAGCAGGCCTTATTACACTAATGGTGATGCAGTCAAAGACTGCATTAATATGTGACCAATTAAAAATCCCTGAACACTTGTTTTCAATCTTAAGGAATTGTCATGGCTTCTGCTTACACTAAAGAGAAGAATCGGTGCTTACACGTACAGACAGTCGTGGTTCACTATACCACAGGAAGACCCCTTTATTGTTTCCTTCTTTTGTTCCTATTGTTTGGACTTCAATATTTTCTTGACATAAGGTTTGTACACAAAAAACCTCCCAAGGACTATGCTCAACTTCTCTATGAGAAAATGCTCACTGAATTCCTTATTTGTGTACTTGATATGCTTACTTATCGAACAAAACACAAGAAATACGATCACTATACACATTGTGTAAGCACAAAATGTTTCTAAGTCCAAGGTTTTGAGAACTCCCAAGTTCTCTTGCGAGCAGAGCCACAACATGGTCCTTAGAATACACACAGCAAGGTGGGTTGAAAAGGGAGGCATGCACAAGGATATTGTACGTAACAAAAGCCCCTCGGCTCTCGAGTGTAGTGGTCCAATGGTATGTACACATCCATTATAGGGCCGTACTTTGCAAAGGCCTGGCGGATATCATCTGGCCTGTGAAAGAGGTATATACACCAAAGTTTAAGAGGTTAAGAGTTTTATAACAATATCCATTTGATTAGGCCATCATACCTATCAATATTGTGCACTTACCATTTCACTTGTACTATTCTACAACTGCTTATTATTAGCAACACAACATTAAATTCCGTACCTTCAGAGGTCTAGTTATCCTGTAATTTTGGACAGTATTCTGACTGCTTTCAGTCACAATAAAAAAAAGCATGGCGTCACTGAAAAGGCATGAGCGGCAATCTACAATCGACTAGTCCCATAAATGTGACGGAAATACTGGACTACCTCCGTATTTAACATCACACATCCCACATGTGGTATAAGCACGGAGGGTCCTGTTGCTAGGGGAGCCGAAAATTAATTAAAGATCGAAATTATTTTGTCAGCAGAAAATCAACCCAGCTATAGTATGACTGCTAAATAGCCAAAATTGTTAAATTCGGTACCTTCAGAGGTCTAGTTATCCAAAAATCATGGTAATTCGTCAAAGAATGCAGACGGTTTTGAAAAAGCATGGCGTCTCTGATATTTACCAGACTGTTTCCCGCGCCACCCTAATTATATCAAAAGGCCAATTGGGTCAGGAACCAGACAAGAGCTTTAATCATCTACTGAGCGTGCGTCAACTTTGGCAAAGCGCACCGCGGCTGTTGCCTGTCACACCAAAATCTTTGAAGCCCTCCGCAGTGAAGCGCGCCCTCTTGTGTGCGCTCTTCATCAGCGGCCGCGTATTGCATCTGGGTACTTCACAGAGCTCCAAAGACTTTGGAATGACAGGCAACAGCGCGGTGCGATTTGCCAAAGGGAAAAAATTCCGTACTCGGACGTCACTATTTTCAATTAATTTTCTAGCGCCAAAAGTTACATCTTTTTATGGTTAATCCTCCACTTTCCCTCCTCTACTCTCACCCTCTCCTTTCCTTAATTTCTATTTATTAATCAGTCAGTTACTTCATCGGGATTCGAACCTCTGACGCTTGCTTGATACACGAGACTCTTAACCGCTAGGCCGCGCACGATCGCTGTTGCAATAATCAATCTTTGGACGTATTTGAAGTATCCATTGAAATAAACTAATATTCATGAGAAAATAAATATTCATAATGACGTATTGCACTATCATTGGCAGGCAGGCTCATGCGACGTCATGGTTGTTGATGTCACGTGTATAACGTACCGCTGTCTTTCAGCCACTACAATCAGTTTTGACCGGCTGCTTCAAGTTAGTTCTGCACGACGTATGCATCCAAAATGTGCTCTAAAAAACACATTTTGAGTAATTTTTTTTCACCTATACACAGCTTCCTGGATTTCTCTTGGTTCAAATGACAAGGTGAGGTGACAATTAATATGTTTGGCAGCAGATAAATTGACGTCCGAGTATGGAACTTTTCCCCAAATTTTGCTACCACACTCTAACGAATAGGTTGTCTCCAGCGCTACATGTGAATGAATTCCTGTGCTCTAGTATGATATGAGCATCAAGTTACTAAAGCTACACGGCGGCTGTTTGCCCGTCACCTGGTCACACAGTAATCTTTTGAGCTCTCTGAACATGCTGAAGTACACTTCGCATGTAGTACACTTCGTCAGGAAAATAATTACTGGAGACCAATCTAAACTAAGAAGAGGTAGATCCGGAATTAGAAAAATCCGGAACTAGGAAAACGACTGTATTGCAAGGACAGGTTAACCGTGTATTTCCGACAGTTAAACTAAAACCTCATTTCTATCGCTTAAATAAGAAGCAACATCTATGAGTATTTTTCCTTTCTTGTGTACAGTCTATTACATTCAATACTCACCGTGCTTGGTCAGGTATATTTCGCACATAAAGCGAAGTATTTGGTGGTCTACTCCCACGTCTCGACATTCTCTTTCAGATTTTTTTTGTCACGAAAAACAATCGCGGACGGGTTATCGGTGCGCATAGCATAAACCAGAGTGAAACCTGGCCGCGTATTCGGCCAGATACCACAGCCGCGTATTCAGACGCGTATTCATAAAGTACGGAGGCCAATAAACAACATTCTTGATATGATAAATGTTTATATATTTAATGCGGATTTCATCGAGGAGTGTACCGAAAATGAAGGACGTCAGTATTATGCTTGATGGTCAGTTATTTAGGTCTTGTGGCTTCCTATAAATTATTTTGGTTTCAGATCTAGGGCAGCTATGAGTCACGTAATACTTGTCCTGAGAAAAGTCGTACTAAAATAGCATTTTGCGGTAATTGTACATTTATTAAAACGTAAGTTAAATTTCGAGACAAAGTGTACCAAACAGTGTAGGAGAAAAAGTCAAATCGCCGATGTCATCTTAAAGAGTGGTGTCCCGCCTACACTCTATTTTGGTTTCAGGTGTATGGGGTGTATCTGTCACGTGACAATGGCATAACAAAATGGGCTTTAACCGCCAAATTTACTTTATTTTATATATTTAATGCGGATTTCAGGAAAAAAGTGTACCGAAAAAGCAACATGTACGAATTATGTTTGATGGTCAGTTATTGAGGCCCAGAGGCTTCCTATCAATTATTTTGGTTTCAGATCAGGGCAGCTATGAATCACGTGATACTCGTCCTGGAAAATTCGCACTAAAAAAAAAAGATTTTGCGGTTAAACAACATTTATGCCTTTACTTTGAGACAAAGTGTACCAAACAGTGTAGGAGAAAAAGTCAAATCGCCGGTGTCATCGTAAAGAGTGATGTCCCGCCTACACTCTATTTTGGTTTCAGGTGTGTGGGTGGTATCTGTCACGTGACAATGGCATAACAAAATGGGCTTTCACCGCCAAATTTACTTTATTTTATATATTTAATGGGGATTTCAGGAAAAAGTGTACCGAAAATGCAACATGTCCGAATTATGTTTCATGGTCAGTTATTGAGGACTCATGGTTTCCTATAAATTATTTTGGTTTCAGATCTAGGGCAGATATGAATCACGTGATACTCGTCCTGAGAAAAATCGTACTAAAATAGCATTTTGCGGTTGTACAACATTAAACAAGTTAAACTTCGAGACAAAGTGTACCAAACAGTGTAGGAGAAAAAGTCAAATCGCCGATGTCATCTTAAAGAGTGGTGTCCCGCCTACACTCTATTTTGGTTTCAGGTGTGTGGGGTGTATTTGTCATGTGACAATGGCATAACATAATGGGCTTTAACCGCCAAATTTACTTTATTTTATATATTTTAATGGGGATTTCAGGAAAAGTGTACCGAAAATGCAACATGTCCGAATTATGTTTGATTGTCAGTTATTGAGGACTCATGGCTTCCTATAAATTTATTTTTGGTTTCAGATTCCAGGGCGATATGAATCACGTGATACTTTGTCATGAGAAAATCGTACTAAAATAGCATTTTGCAGTAACGTTTTATTAATTAAGCTTCGAGACAAAGTGTACCAAACAGTGGTAGGAAAAAAAGTCAAATCGCCGGTGTCATCTTAAGAGTGGTGTTCCGCCTACACTCATTTTGGTTTTCAGGTGTGTGGGGTGTATCAGTCACGTGACAATGGCATAACATAATGGGCTTTCACCGCCAAATTTACTCTATTTTATTATATTTAATGCGGATTTCAGGAAAAAGTGTACCGAAAAAGCAACATGTACGAATTATGTTTGATGGTCAGTTATTGAGGCCCAGAGGCTCCTATAAATTATTTTGGTTTCAGATCCAGGGCAGCTATGAATCACGTGATACTCGTCCTAAATAAAAAACGTACTAAAATAGCATTTTGCAGTAACGTTGTGCATTTAAATTAAGTTAAACTTCGAGACAAAGTGTACCAAACAGTGAAGGAGGAAAAAAGTGAAATCGCCGATGACATCTTAAAGTTAGAGTGGTTGCCCGTCTGTTCAATTATTGAGGACTAGAGGCGTTCGTAATGTTATACATGCTGCAAAATGTGATCTGTTTTTTCCAGATAGATAATTTATGTTATTCAACGAATTTTTCAAAATATAAACAACAAATATCAATATTTTTCTATACTGTATTAGAGTTCACAATATAAGCAACCATGTCGTCAACGAGTTTTGAAAATTTGATGCAATAATTACTTAGAAATTAACTGCTTAATGCGAATCATCACATTTAACGTAATTTTCGAACGCTTTTAGAGATGTTGAAAAATAAATGCATCATTTAAAACAGAGTGTACCTCACAATGTTGTCAAAACTCATAATTTTATTGCATAATCTACGAGATCATGTGGACTGGGCACGCTTTATTTTGGTATTGGTTTCAGCCGAGCACTATAATTAGTGCCTAATTAGCCTCTTAAAGCGACCCCATTTTCCAAGCACTATAAGAATGCATTCTTTTCAACTGCGTATATCACTGCTCCTTTAAAAAAGTGTACCTCACATGTTGTCAAAAACTCATAATTTTATTGCTTTTAATAATCTACGAGATCATGTGACCGGGCACACTTAATTTTGGTATTGGCTTCAAATTAGTACTAATTAGTGACTAATCGGCCAGTGACCCCAATTTTCCGGCACTATCAGCATGCATTCTTTTCAACTGCATACATCACTGCTCCTTTAAAACAAAGTGTACCTCACATGTTGTCAAAAACTCATAATTTTATTGGTAAAGAATGCATGCTGATAGTGCCTTGAAAATTGGGTCAATTTAAGGGGCTAATTAGTCACTAATTAGTCCTTGGATGAAGCCAATACCAAAATATTAAGTGTGTCCAGTGATATGATCTCGTAGATTATGAAATAAAACTGCAAGTTTTTGGCAACATGTGAGGTACACTTTGTTTTAAAGGAGCAGTGATATACGCATTGAGAAGAATGCATTCTGATAGTGCCGGGAAAATGGGGCCACTTTAATGGGCCGATTAGTCACTAATTAGTACTAATTTGAAGCCAATACCAAAATCAAGTGTGCCCGGTCACCTGATCTCGTAGATTAAGCAATAAAATTATGAGTTATTGACAACATGTGAGGTACACTTTGTTTTATTAAATGATGCATCTATTTTTCAACATCTCTAAAAGCGTTCGAAAATTACGTTAAATGTGATGATTCGCATTATAAGCAGTTAATTTCTAAGTAATTATTGCATCAAATTTTCAAAACGCGTTGACGACATGGTTGCTTTAATGTGAACTCTGATACAGCATAGAAAAATATTGATATATGTCGTTATTTTGAAAAAAATTCGTTGAATAAAATAAATTATCTATCTGGAAAACAGATCACCTTTTTGCAGCATGTATATCATTTTATAGGACGCCTCTAGTCCTCAATAACTAAACATCAAACATAATTCGGACATTTTCGGTACACTTTTTCCTGAAATCCGCATTTAAATAATAAAAAATTAAAGTAAATTTGGCGGTGAAAGCCCATTATGTTATGCCACTATCACGTGACAGACACATCCCATACACCTGAAACAAAATAAAGTGTAGGCGGGACACCACCCTTTAAGATGACATCGGCGATTTGACTTTTTCTTCTTCACTGTTTGGTACACTTTGTGTCGAACTTTAACTTTAAAAAGTTTAATGTTGTTATACAACCGCAAAATGCTATTTTGGTACGATTCTTCTCAGGACGAGTATCACGTGATTCATAGCTGCCCTAGATCTGAAACCAAAATAATTTATAGGAAGCTCTAGTCCTCAATAACCGGACCATCAAACATAATTCGGACATGTTGCATTTTCGGTACACGTTTTCCTGAAATCCGCATTAAATATATAAAAAAAAGTAAATTTGGCGGTGAAAGCCCATTATGTTATGCCATTGTCACGTGACAGACACATCCCATACACCTGAAACCAAAATAAAGTGTAGGCGGGAGACCACCCTTTAAAGATGACATCGGCGATTTGACTTTTACTTCTTCACTGTTTGGTACACTTTGTCTCGAACTTTAACTTAAAGTTTAATGTTGTACAACCGCAAAATGCTATTTGTACGATTTTCTCAGGACGAGTATCACGTGATTCATAGCTGCCCTAGATCTGAAACCAAAATAATTTATAGGAAGCCTCTAGTCCTCAATAACTGACCATCAAACATAATTCGGACATGTTGCATTTTCAGTACACTTTTTCCTGAAATCCGCAATAAATATATTAAAAAAAAGTAAATTTGGCGGTGAAAGCCCATTATGTTATGCCACTGTCACGTGACACACACATCCCATACACCTGAAACCAAAATAGAGTGTAGGCGGGAGACCACCCTTTAAGATGACATCGGCGATTTGACTTTTTCTCCTACACTGTTTGGTACACTTTGTCTCAAAGTTTAACTTAAGTTTTAATGTTGTACAACCGCAAAATGCTATTTGTACGATTTTTCTCAGGACGGGTATCACGTGATTCATAGCTGCCCTAGATCTGAAACCAAAATAATTGATAGGAAGCCTCTAGTCCTCAATAACCGACCATCAAACATAATTCGGACATGTTGCATTTTCAGTACACTTTTTCCTGAAATCCGCATTAAATATATAAAAAAAAAAGTACATTTGGCGGTGAAAGCCAATTATGTTATGCCACTGTCACGTGATAGACACATCCCAAACACCTGAAACCAAAATAAAGTGTAGGCGGGATACCACTCTTTAAGATGACATCGGCGATTTGACTTTTTCTTCTTCACTGTTTGGTACACTTTGTCTCGAAGTTTAACTTAAGTTTAAATTAATGTTGTACAACCGCAAAATGCTATTAAAGTACGATTTTCCTCAAGACGAGTATCACGTGATTCATAGCTGCCCTAGATCTGAAACCAAATAATTTATAGGAAGCCTCTAGTCCTCAATAACTGACCATCAAACATAATTGGACATGTTGCATTTTCGGTACACTTTTTCCTGAAATCCGCAT